CATGTATGTAAAAGCAAAATTTTAATGTTTGTATTTATAAATATTTTATGGAATGCACGGGCTGGCAGTGTCATTTTTCCGGTTTGTATGTACTGTAGGTAATTATACATTTAGGTGCACAAGCACTGTTCTTATAATCTATAATTATTGATTTGTGATTCATTGTCTCGTTCCTTATGTTGATTAGTGTGTTCATTTCATTGCAATCCTAATATCATTTTGTCAAGTTAATAAATAATATACATGACATCCCACCTAACAAGACTATTATCATTATGATTTGTTTTAATTGTCTAAATTTTAATTATTGTATTTCTATTTTTTTTAAGCCGTAAACAGAGTGAAAGATTGTAATCTATCGATAGAGGAAATTAACCGCAATTGCTATGGATACCGCACCCCATCCACCCCCTGTTGTGTACGCATTACTGAAGAGTCCAGATAACTGCCTTTCCTAGTTTATTGCATTGTATATCCGGACATTCGTTCGTAAACTGTGAATAAGTTATATAATAGTTTTTAGACATTTTTGTGTATAATAACAGTACATATTTGTTGTTTTTTGTGATATCTTAACACTAGAAAATGTAAAATTTCAAAATCGTATGATAATTTTTAAAACTTTTTTTTTTCAGACTCTATATCACAGTAGATATGTAAAAATAGTGTATATTACACGGGCAAAATCATGAAATTGTGAATACCTGAAATAGTATGTAAGTATTGGTAAGTATTACAATAAGTATTATAAACAGGTAATTACCGATATTTTGAATTAATACAAGGAAATATACATTTCTTCTGTTTCTGTATATATTCATTACTTAATGTATGATGCACTGATAGAAAAACGGAAATTCATTGGTAAGGTTATATTCCGATTGATTTATATTGACAACTGAGGTAATTTCTTTCGAGACATGTGTGTGGCCCTTAAAAGGGCCTTTTGTTGTCCTTAAAAGGACAGTTTTCAGCCATTCACGTATCTGTTTTACACAGCACGCGTTGTAATCTGGCCCTGAATTTTTTGTGCCCGTTTGTGTTAAGATAGACCTTGTCTGTGTGGTAGTCCTTACAGTATTTAATATCATTGAATCGAATTAAATATTCTTTGATTTTTTTCGCCAGCCTTTTATTAATGTATTTTATTTGATTTCAGAAGCGCTCTTTTGTCAAACCCGATGCTTTAGAAAATTCACCTCTGGTCAAAATTTCACAAATATAAACTTTTTTAACCCCAGAGGCCTTTAAATTATCCACAAGAATTTGGATTCTACTGACGATTTCGTTCGGGAATGGTGTAGCTGTTATGTCATTACCGCCTACATTCAGAACTACAACATCTGCGTTTTGGCGCAGCAGACGAGAATATAGGGCATGGTCCATATGGTCGGTTCTTAGACCGCCTTTAAAACACCAATGCACGTGCCCTGGTATTAACAGTGGATCTTCGCACAGTGATAGTGAAGACGTTTGATATAGCTGTCACCAAATAGTACGACTTTAGCCATTGTAAGTCAGACTGTAATCAGTACGCAATAACTAGTAGTTTATATACATCTAAACTGAGCTGAAAATGTCATATTTTAATGTTTGAATGAAGTAAACTGTTAACACAAGGTAAACACCTACCTGCATAAATAGTGCCTGAAGTAATTATATATCAATCACGATTTGTATACAGCCGTAAGTGTGAAAAATAGCATACCTACTCCTTTAGATAGTCTCTTGTTAATTCGTTCAATTATATACATTAGAATATAAAAAAAATTTTTTTTCCAATTTCAAATTTTATTGCCTGAAACATTATACAATGTTTTATAGCATATAAACAACATAAACATATAGACATATATATGCAAGCATTGCATGACAACAACATCTACAACTATAAAGAATGTCATTCCTAGAATGATGTGATGCATGCATGCATATGTATGCATGCATGCGTATGTATGTATAGTTCGACATTTAAATTTGCACGTGAAAGTCGTGCATAACAGTTATCTACAACTATAAAGAATGTCATTCCTAGAATGATGTGAAATGTATTATTGGAATGTCATTCATAGATTTGACAATGTATTCAAACAAAAGACACAGTAAATAAAAAGGGAGAAACACATTAACAACAACATCATAATAACAAGCCGTGCGTAGGTTTCGAACCTATTTGTTCAAATCATTTAAAGTAACAGTGACGTTGATTTACCACCTGAGCTATCACGATGTTAGAATTAAACTATATGAGTCGCGTCACAACAAAACCAACGTAATGCGTTTGCGACCAGCATGGGTCCAGACCAGCCTGGGCATCCGCGCAGTCTGATCAGGATCCATGCTGTTCGCTTACAAACCCTATAACAAGTAGAGAATCTGATAGCGCACAGCATGTGTGTGGATGCGCAGGCTGGTCTGGATCCATGCTGGTCGCAAACCCATTATGTTGGTTTTGTCATGGCGCGGCTCTTATCTAGTTGTTGACACTTTCGTTTTCGGATAATATGCAGAATTACCCTTTTAATGGACTTTCCCAACAATATACAACAATATACATAGAACACATATAACATGATTTAAAAAGTACATTGCCACTCATATGTTGAGTTATAAAAGACTTTAGTAACAATTCAACGAATAAAGAGACTTACGTAATTACTGCTATATATACTATATGCATGCTTATATCGTTAAAGCTAAGAAGCAGACGCTAATTGTTAAATAAAAAATCATTAAAATACACGACGATAAAAAGTTGAATGTGGAAAAAAGGCACTATTGCGCAATTCAAAAAAATGTGTTAAAGAATCAGATATCACCCCGATGAACAGATTAGCACCTACTTCCAAGGAGAAGATAAGCAAGGTGATATACAATGGACACCGAAGATAATGAAGATAGTCAGAATTTCCTTAAAGGGACTTCACTTGAACTATGCGTGGATAGATGTACGATTTCGGGCCCTATAAAGATAATTTTATGTATGGAAAACATTTTTTTCTCGCTATTGTTACTTATATTACTATTTCATTAACTAAAATTACGAAGTATTTCAAAATAATTTTGGTTAAGATAAACATTAAACCTTCCGGACGCTTTGTCGGTATACGGTGGTTTTTGAGCATGTGAACTGGAGTCGAAGGTATGTTAGTTTTTTATATAAATAGAAAAAAAATGATAATAAAGATTATTTTTTTCTACCACAAATACCTCAATACATAATAATATACATTATTTACAATAAATATAACCCTTCTGACTGTTTAAATTAAAATTAATGCTTCAGGACCCTTCATGACATTTCGGGACGCTAAATTTCTTCGGGACGCTTTGTTAACGCAACATCGGAAACGTCAGTTTTCGCGCTGTATAATAATATTTTGTGGATGAAATGTTTATTTCCTTCTTTATGTCACTTACACATATCGTAAAGAACTTAATAACGATTTATCTTTGCTTAGATAAAAATAAAAACCATGAATACGTTTCGGGACACTATGTTAGTCAGTTAGCAACTTGAACTATGCGTGGATAGACGTACGATTTCGGGCGCCATAAAGATAATTTTATGTATGGAAAACATTTTTCTTATTATTTTTACTTACATAACTATTTCATTAACTAAAATTACGAAGTATTTCAAAATAATTTTGGTTTCGATAAACATTAAACCTTCCGGACGCTTTGTCGGTATACGGTGGTTTTTGAGCAAGTGAACTGGAGTCGAAGGTATGTTTGTTTTTTATATAAATAGAAAAAAATGATAAGTAAGATTATTTTTTTCTACCATAAATACCTCAGTACATAATAATATACATTATTTACAATAAATATAACCATTCTGACTGTTTAAATTAAAAATAATGCTTCGGGACGTTTCATGACATTTCGGGACGCTAAATTCTTCGGGACGCTTTGTTAGCGCAACATGGGAAACGTCAGTTTTCGCGCTGTAAAATAATATTTTGTGGATGAAATGTTTATTTCCTTTTTAATGTCACTTACACATATCATAAAAGAACTTAATTACGATTTATCTTTGCTTAGATAAAAATAAAAACCATGAATACGTTTCGGGACGCTATGTTAGTCAGTACGCGACTTGAACCATGCGTGGATAGATGTACGATTTCGGGCGCTATAAAGATAATTTTATGTATGAAAAACATTTTTTCTCGCTATTTTTACTTACATAACTATTTCATTAACTAAAATTACGAAGTATTTCAAAATAATTTTGGTTTAGATAAACATTAAACCTTCCGGACGCTTTGTCGGTATACGGTGGTTTTTGAGCAAGTGAACTGGAGTCGAAGGTATGTTAGTTTTTTTATATAAATAGAAAAAATGATAAGTAAGAATATTTTTTTCTACCATAAATACCTCAGTACATAATAATACAGCTCATTTACAATAAATATAACCCTTCTGGCTGTTTAAATTAACAATAATGCTTCGGGACGCTTCAGGACGCTTTGGGACGCTAAAATCCTTCGGGACGCTTTTTAGTGAGACCCGTATTTAACCTATTATCAAATTGTTTGGAGTGTGACTAAAACAAGTTTTGTAGCACCTCACTAAATGCTGACAGCTGTATTCCTGTATACTACCGGCCAAGGCGCTAACTTAATGATTAAAATTTAAATGCTAAAATCTCTCTATTACACTCACAGAAATGCACTTTAAGATGTCTTATTCATCTCTTAAATACTTCATTTGATTTATCTACGATGATGACTGAAAAAAGTAAAAATTTGCATAAAATTTAAAAAGCGATATTTTTTCTATTCTGCGTTCATAAATTATGCAAGCGTATGGAGGAGTAGACAGACGTTTCACTATTGGGACGGTTCACACCAAGACGGATTTTTTATCAGGTTTATGCAAGCCTAAACTTGAAAATTAACATTTTCATCAAGATTTGCATACAATTCTAACATACATGATGAATTTGGCATACTAAAATTAATGTGAAACTCGATAAATAATCAAGTGCTTACGTTTTTCAATGTTAATTATTGATCTGGAACAGTGAAGCGAAGTTTTTTATCCAGGTTTTTATTATTTTTGCCTTCTAGTCCTCCATTAATTTACTATCTAATCTGTATTAAGAAACGCTCGCATTTCCATTGATAATGTACACTTGTCTGTTAATCAAGCAGTTGGTTGATATGAGAAAAAGAGTAAAGCTTATATCAAAGAAACAATACAATTTAGTTTACTGGCAGTTTTGGAAGCTGTCAGAGTTATTTTTAAATCTATAAAATGGCGCAAGAAGTGGCCAGAGTTGCAAGACGGCTGGAAGAGGCAAAAGAGACTCAATTTTTAGGTATATCTGTAAACCACAGGAAACTGATGTAAACACTGGTAGGCCCTAAATGTCTGAAGAAAAAAAATCAACAAAAAAATCACAAATAATTTCTATACAGTAGCATACATGTATTTTATGCATAGAAGTTGTTTTTTTGTTTTTGTTGAAATATTTTTGTTTTTAACTTCAATTTCCTGTTCTGTATTTTAAAGAAATTGGATTTAACTCAATACAGGATTGGAGTAAGTACCCCTAGACGCTTGCAGAAATCAATATCAGAAAATAGACAAATATCGTTTTTTTTCGCTGATTTTTTAATTTTTCATTCATTATCATACATAAATCGGTGTGAAAAGATGAATTAGACCTTTTAAAGTTCATTCCGTTGGGTAAAAAGGCAAGATTTTAGCATTTTATCATTCAAGCGCCGTGCCCTGTATAATATTATACCGGAATACGGTATTTAGTGTGGTGCTCCAATCCTTTTCTTAGTCGTCACTCAAAGAAATTTAGGATAAAGTCGAAGTTTTATAATGTAAAATTTAATGCTCTTAATAATTGTATACATTATAAAACTTCAAGTTCCTTTGGTGAAATAAATTTTAAGTGAAAGGAAAATAATCCAAGTGATATTGATAAACCATTATCACAGATCATCAATGAAAATCTTAGCGCACTGGTTTCGTGTTTCTGCATTTTTCTTGTTACAAGTATCCTGTATTTTAAGTCATTGTACATAAAATATTTTAGAAACATTTTACTTAAAGTTTATATTTGTTTGATATCTGGGCAATATTTGGGTATTTCATGCCGCCCGAGTTAGACTGAAAAGGAAGATAGATAGAAAGATTTTCACTTGGTTTGAATTTATAAGAACAAATGTCCATTTTGGCTTTGATATTGTGACCCAGGGAATGTTTATACTGTCAATAGGATTGAAATGTCTAAATCTGGAAGTGAAAATGACCTTGGAGTGACTGTAACAGATGTTTGTTAGCCAGCCTGGTAGTAGTCAATGTGCTAAGGTTGCTAAAAAAGCTTTTCAAAGGCTCGGCTTACTGAGACGGGGTTTTAAACATATTTTCATCAATAGCTTTAAAGTCATACATATCCAACTTATGTAAGACCTTTAATGGAATATGCTGTATATTCGTGGAACCCTTATTATGTCAGTGATATTGAATGTTTAGAAAGAGTTCAGAAATATATGCTACAAGTTCAGTTCCTGAAATATCAAGCTTAAATTAAGAAAACCATTTAAAAAAGTTATATATGTAAAGCTTGAAAGACAGACACCTAAGAGGTGATTTAATAAAAACCCATAAGATAAATGAAAAATATTAAGTTAATTCAGAAAGATTTTTCAAGAAGTCAAACATATCATCCACTAGAGGACATCATCTTAAAGTTTACAAACCAATAATTATACTAAACAAGGGACTTTACTGCGTATAAACTTTTTCTCCATTTAATAGAATTGTTTACTCATGGAGTGAACTGCCAGAAAAGATTGTTTTGGCTCAAACAACAGATACCTTCAAAACCAGACTAGACCATCACTGGAATGTTATGAACAGATATGGGACTCGAGAGGCCTACTATCTAACTCCCATTCAAGGTGTAAATATAAATGTAACAAATCAATGAAACATGTTGTTTGAAGCCCTTATAAATGCTTATAGATGAATAATGTATAGATCTTATGTTTATGCTTTCATTGTTAGTTTTATTATCTTAATAAAAAAATCAATATTAAATATGGTTTTGTGTTGCTTACCAGTGAAAGCCTTATATGCCAGCAATTATAAATATACTGTATACAGTTGTATATAGGCTAGTCTTGTATTGCTGTCAAACCTGTCATAGAATTGCTGTTAATAAACAAGTGCTGGTAAAATGCTGTGACTAACCTGATGGTTTGAACATGTTACTCAAAAAGGGATGATTACATGTAGCTTGATAGTGATGATATTATTATTATTATTATTATCATTATTATTATTATTATGTGAATTTAATATGACTGGAAATACACATATTTTTATTTTTTTGGTTGGACTTTACATCTAACCAAGTATAGGTCATATCCATGATACGGCGACTTTCAAGCTTTGCTTGTTTCGGAAGACCATAATAATAGTTGCCGCAATGTTAAATATTTCTGGCACCAATGGGCACCGCACCAAAAATACGCATTAATTAATTTTATTACACTATAATGAATATAATGTCAATGGATACATAACGTTATTGTATATGCAGCATGTAATATGAAGGAAATGTAATTTTTCATTCCATGCCTTATGTTTACAGATCTTTCCAAGTGTGAGCTTCTGAAGATACCTGATGCAGCCTACTTTATGTTGAAGGACAGTGTTATAAACAAATGTGATCTCAGTGGAAACAATATTAAGAGGATACCATCCAAATTTTGTACAAAGTTTACAGATTTAACAGGTTACCTTTCAAATTGTTCTCCCCCAGCAGTGGTGCTATTAATATCCTTAAAAGTTTGTTGTTTTAATTAATGTAAGGTCCTGAAATTCTAACCTCAAACATGACACTTTTTTGTAGAAATCAGTATGTACTAAATAATTGTACAGGTAAATGTTCTTAATTTATATGAGAATGTACATGGAGTAGCAATAATCTATATTGAAAAATACAACACACATGACATTTATGGGAAATATGAATAATTTATAACTATTGAATTTTATTGTACCTCTCATAGTATTGAAACACCCCCACAGAATATGTTTATGTTGATCCTTGATTATAATTAGTCAAACAATCCAGTAAAGGCGAAGGGCAGTAATATTATTTCAGACTTCTAACATATATAATTATACAATGTATATATCACTAAAAAGGCCTCTAAATGTTGTTTTGTTCTATAAAAACCAGTCTAAATGGAATTATATGGCAGGTAATAAATGGGATTGTAGTGGTCTTTAAAAAAATGTGAGGTTTAATTAATAAATAAAGATACTTGCCTAACACAACAGTCTTTACAGTTTAAAAAAAATCCACCGAGGTTCTTGGTTACCTGTAGATAACTGCACTTTTGTCAATAATCAATTTTAGCTAGCTTTATATTATAAACATACAACCATTTGAAAAATCTTATCATTTTAAATGGTGATAATGATTTACCTATCAGCATAAAACTAGAGCAGCCTGCAGATATGGCTGTGTTAGACCAGACCAAATCACTGCTCCAGTCAAGTATTTTGATATTCAAACCCCTTTAAATTTAACAGCAGATAGCTATAAAATTTCAAGATTGAACACAATTGATTATATTCTTATTCAGTAGCATAAAGGTAAAGTTATAACATAAGTTTCAGTGAAGTAATTGTTTTTATCTATGAGTGTATGATAATCTTTTAACTGTTTTCAGAGCTTCAGCTACAAGATAATAACTTGTCTAGTCTTCCTGAAGAAGTGAGAGATATGGAGCAGTTACAAGTTTTAGATATATCAAATAACAAATTTGAAAGTCTTCCTGTAATCTATGATTCACCAAAATTAAACACAGTCTCTGCCAAAGGCAACAAAATCACAGGTATGGGTTTATAATTCCATATATAAATAAGTCATCGCCATGGTCTAAGTTGTTGATTTTGAATAATAATAGGTGTGTCATACTGTTTAAGGCAATTTAAGGTACAAATTAATGGCCAGGTATACTAGTATTTCTAAGACATTAAAAAAAATTTCTTTAAGCCAAAATCTTTAAAAAAAGAGAACAAAGGCATTCCTTCATCATTTGAATTGATAATATTCTGGTGGAAAAGTTGGAAGAGACAAAGAATGCCTATATGTAATCCTTCTTCATCTAGTTATTACATTGTATGTTTGATATGATTGTTTAATTTTTAAATGAATTTTAATGAGCATGTTTAGTTTGTTAAAGCCTCTATCACATTAACTGCAAGAAATTTGGCCGCAGGAAATTTCGCAGTCTATGTAGACAGATTTGTATATCTGTCATTTGACATCATTTGATAACGACATGCGGTAGCCGCAAGACGCTCATGCCGCAAACCTGCGGTCCTCACAAGACAAACGCAAAACATTTTTACATGAGAACCTCTAGAAATCCTGAATCTGCCATACGTTTTTTCTTATGACAGTCTTGAGACGTCCAAAATCTGTCAAAAAATTGCAGAAATAATGGCATGTTGAGAAATCAGTCTGCAACATTTCGACAGCCTTGAGATTTTAAAGAATTCATTCAAATGTCTTGCGACTCCTATACGAGACTCAGCAGTTTTTGTCAAAATTCATTCATACTGCTGCTGTAGGACTGATGTGATAGAGGCCTAACTGTATTATAAGTCAGAATAATCAAAGAATAGTTGGGGCTTACAAACCTTTATGTCTTCAGTTGTCTTTGAAAGCCACTTTCTATAACATGGAGTTTTACTGATTTATACCATTATGTTCTGTTATAAAATACAAGGTCAAGTTTTTGCATACACACAATTATATAACTTCTATGTTGACAGCCACTGCAGGTATTCACTTGAAACTTCTTACTTCACCGTAGGGAACGTGTTACAGTATCGCGTTTTTCGGTCACAGTATAGAATTTTCAAGATGGAGGATAATTAATGGGAAGAGAGGTAGGTGATTTTTATTCAGGTCCATACTACTAGTAGTGTAGTTTCTAAAATATACTTCTGTGCTTTGCTTGTAAGGAACAGAATCCGGTATCTAGTCATATATTTCTTCAGACCCTGCACCGCAGATTTATCTCTATATTGTCTCATAAATGTGCAGATTTGACGGTTTAAAAATTTGAATCGAGAAACCACCTCATTTTTCTCCCATTCCGACATTATTTAAGCATGCCTAGATAAAGTAAATCTACAAAACGTTAGTCCTTTATGTTTAGAAACGTTTATAAAAGTAAATGACCAGTTGAACCTATTTTCCTGTTGGTAAAATGCATTTGAAAAAATAAACAATGTTACAGTATAGAGCGAGGTTAATTTTGAAGGGTTACAGCATAGACCTAGCGACATTGATCCAATTTTGTTACAGTTTATACCCGATTTCTGTTACAGTTTAGATACTTGCCAAATTTCAAACAACGTTCGTGTATCCATTATTTTTATGAAATAACTCATACCTTTCTATCTAATACATTCTTGAAAGGTTGTATTACTTTTTTTCTTCAGCAGAAAAGTAATAGTGTGCTATTTTTCTTACTTTAAGTTTCAGATTGAGACTTTTTGCAGAATAAGAAATGTCATAAGTAAGGACTGTTTTCACGACAACAACAGTAACTTTTATCGAATTGTAATGAGAGAAGAAAGATTATTGCTTGATTTCATTACACATTATAATAATGCCTATTAGTAATAAAATAGAGAAAAAAGAATCCTTAACAGAAGTCCAACACGGAAAACATGAAAATGTTGCAGGCTCAGTTTGATTAAACCTGTTCATGGACGGTAGTGGTAACTGCGAGCTACTGTTCACGCCTCCTAGCACCGGCTTCAGCAGAATTCACATTAAACATGAACTGGTACACTTCAGACTTTTTAACATCTGTGGATGTGTTCATATGGCGGTTATCATGGAACTTCAATGTGACACGTTATTGCCATTCTATGAAAAGCGGCATATCCCCCTCAGGTTAAAACTCGTGTGTGCCCCAAACAAGAATACAATGAGTGAAACTAAACAAAATGAAATTTTGAGAGGGGATCGGGGATTATGAAGCCTGCATACCATAGATAGGCTATTAAAAGACACAATTAACAAGCAGGCAAGTGAGCAATAATTTTGTAAGTATTTAAAAGGGTTTATGAACATTTTCAATTTTGTTGTGTTGGAATTTCTTTAGCGATTCTGTTTAACTCTATTTTGTTACGTTTGGCTTTCTTGTATTGTAAGTTTCAACGACACCGAGGTCATGTGAAAACATTCCTGCTTTAGTGTAAAGAAAGACCCCAGATACCCTATGTGAAACATTTTAGACACGAGCGCCTGACTAGAACCACCGAACTTCCGTAAATTAGCTTGATAGATTCCTCACATACAAAGAATCCAAAGTCATGATTGGATTTCAACTACAGCAGTAAATGAAGGATGATTTAAAGTCGACGGCCTTATCCCGACTCTGCCACTATTATGTACTTCCATCAGGCTCACTAGAGAAGATATTGTAATTGTCTGACCTTAATTTATACTCTATAACTTTCAATATTATTTTCTTTTTCAGAAACTTGAAAACTGTTATACAGGATGTCTGAAATAAAAAAAAAACGACTTTTTATTTAACAATGACAAAATAATCGTAACTTCAACAAAGAAGCATTCAAAATGACGCCATGATCATGATTTGATTTGAATGCTTTTGGTTCGAGATGAGAAGGGTCTTTAACATTGCCTTTTTTCAAAATCTATGTTTTGGGTTTTCATATCCCCGATTGCAACCGAAATCATTTGAACAACTTAATTGGCAGAAAGTCATGTAAATTTCATCACATTTAGCAAAGTAGTTACTAAGCGGATGAGATTGCACAAGCATGAGTACGACAGACGGACGAATAGCCATAGGGCCAATAAGCTCACAGAGATTTAAAAGTCTATGTAACATTCATACATTTTACCTAGTATAATTATATAGAAAATATCGAAGTCTAAACTGTAACCGAAATCTGGGTATAAACTGTAACAAAATCGGATACAAATCGCTAGGTCTATGCTGTAACCCTGTACAAATTACCTCGCTCTATACTGTAACATTGTTTATTTTTTCAAACGCATTTTACCAACAGGAAAATAGGTTCAACTGGTCATTTACTTTTATAAACGTTTCCTAACATAAAGGGCTAACGTTTTGCAGATTTACTTTTTCTAGGCATGCATAAATAATGACGAAATTGGAGAAAAATGCGTTGGTCTCTCGATTCAAATTTTAAAACTGTCAAGTTTGCATATTTATGAGACAATATAGCGATAAACCTGCGGTGCAGGGTCTGAAGAAATATATGACTAGATACCGGATTCTGTTCCTTACAAGCAAAGCACAAAAACATCTTTTAGAAACTAAACTACTTGTAGTATGGACCGGAATAAAAATCAACTACCTCTCTTCCCAACAAATAATCCTCCATCTTGAAAATTCTATACTGTAACCGAAAAACGCGATACTGTAACACGTTCCCTACGGTGTACTTTTCTTCAGAGAAATAATTGTTTGTTACTGTTTAAGACCAATAATGCTAGCCATTTAGCATCTTAAGACCTTGTAGACATACATGTATTTGTCTTTATATTAAACGAGTATTTATCTGAACAGTTTGTCTCTAGAATAGTAAGTTTTCACAATGTACAACCAATTACTTTAAATACCACTGTGGACTTGTCCATCTTTCAATCTGGACAAAACCATTTATCATTTAAGATGAAATTCAAAATTACAGGGTGACTGAACAGTAAACAGACAAGAAAAGTTCCATCTGATCTAGTCTGCACTAGTAACATGGGTGTTTTCAGTTACCACCAGCAGACTTAAGGCTTAAATGTATTTCATATTCTATTTCAGGCATTGACTTAGAAAGGTTAAGGAAGATGTCATCTTTAAGAGAATTAGATCTGCAAGATAATCCATTACCAGAGGAAACTCAAGGAATGCTGAGAGATATTGACATGTTTACAGTACATATAGGTGATTCTGATCCTGTAGGCAAAGAATTAGAAGAAGTGGAATAAAAATCAAAACTTTTGAACCATATGATATTTTTATATGTAAGATACTTTTACAAATCAATAGTATTTAAGTAAAATACAAATAGATATGTTTGACATACTTTCTATGAACTATTTTGTATCTAGTAGTTGTAAAACTGTCTCCATATTTATACCAATGACTTTCATACATTTATGACACTAAGTAAATTTCCCTAAAAAGCCAACTGACTTTCCTATTTGATTATTGTTATAATATGTTGATATAGTTAAAAGTTATATTTATTTGTATATTTGTCAAATCATATTTGGTAGGGATGGAAATGAAAAAAAAAAGGTGGGGGTAAAATTGTTCAAAGGTTGCTCAATTTCAATATGACTTTACAATATAATGAATAAGCTGATTTTGCCACAGTAATCAACGGAAGTACAGAGAGGACATTTTGATTTGATTTTATTTTCCTATCTAGTTGCCACAAGATAAAACTCGAAAAAAAAAAAATTTCGTTATCTTGTGGCCATGAGTTATAACTCGGAAAAAAAAATTTGCTATCTCGTTCCCACGAGATATATATATATATAAAAAAAAATTTGCTCTCTTGTGAAAAATGAAATAAAATCTGAATGTGCTTCCCCTCTGTGATTCCGTAGTAATCTTGCTGTGTTGTGTTACATTTATCTCTTTATATCCTCCTGTCTATAAGAATAAGACTAGCTGACCCAGAAAGAGAATGATACTGATTGATATAAAGTTAGTGTAATATATAACATTTTAAATATATTTCATTTGTTGTTATCAATAAGAGAAAATATATTTAAAATGTCAATTAAAAACAAAATCTTGATGAAGGCAAAACTGTATGCTAATCAAATGCCAAGGAAAAATTTAGTCTTTAAAGAAATGAAAATTATACATACATATCCACTGTTAAAACATCATAACTTAACAGTAAATAAACTTTTTTTAAGGATTGTTTAACATGTTATGAACTTGTTTTTTATATACATGGTGTTGATATTTGACTTTAATTACATGTAGATAATTTTGATTGATTGTTCATGAAACTATTAATGTAGTTTTTGAAAAAATACGTCACTGTGACTTTTTTTCTGTTCATTTGCATTTCGTTTGTTGAATGAAATTGTTTGTTTTGTTTGATACAAGAAATTACTTTTTATCTGTAAGGTTTTTAGTTAAAGGGACTCTACTCGAGTTTTTTGACATGAAGGGATGGAAAATATTTTTCAAGATTTTTGTATAACAGGATGTAGATCTTGACCAAGAACTTGTGTGCAAAATTTCTGAATATTTGCTCACTCCGCTTCACATTCATTATCAATTTTATTGAGCAAATTTACCTTAAATTAAAAACCTTTTCACTCAGATCAGCCCATATTTGCATAAAAGCGATTGTCAATTAAATACCGAGTATATTTATATATTATCTATGGCATAGTTTTCCATTTTAAGTGCACCAGTTGATTAATGGAAGAATTTCAAATTTTATGATTTTTAGGCTATAAGACCTGTGGAGTTCCTAAAATATTTGCTATAATACTTCCTATTTTAGTTTATAATATGCTTTTTTTAAAGTTTAGCTTTTAGATTTTATTTTTCATGCCAAGTACTTTCACAATCTTTTACTATTATCAATAATGATATGGTAAAGGGAACCTTTTGATATTGATCCACTTTTATTCGTCCGATTTTAATGCTGTTATTTATGTAGTGGAAGCTTACTGTGCTGATCTGTATTCAGTATTGTCAGTGTATGAAAGGAATAAGCCATGGTTTATGAAACTTGATAGAGACATTGCACATTGCCAGAAGATGACACCAATTGATTTTGAGGTCATTAATACATGGTCACATACAGTCTAGGCAAGGTGACAATCTCTAAAATCCTGTCAATGCTTAGCTAAATAGTGAGGGCATAGAATTTGTAATCCAGTGGTTCTTGGGTTCAAGCCATTGCAAGGCTACATTTCTCGCTGACAAGTGATCAAAGACATTTTGTCTAATGGTCATGCATCTCTCACCAGTGATTTAAAAACAATGTTGAATTAGTAGTCAGTCCTTTGCCAAAAATTTGTAATAACAGGTTAGTTAGCCAGAAAATCTTTCTAGGTAGGTCAACAGCCAAGATATGACCAAAATGTGTTAAAATCACTGTAAAAATCACTGAGTTATTATAACATATTAGTTGTAATTGTTAACTGTATAAATTACTGATTAATAGGCGTCTTGACCTTTATGAGATAAGTATAAGTATGTAAATATGCCACTGTGAAAGGCAAATGAAGTTGCGGCATAAATGTCCTCCACACACATTTCTAGTTTAAGTTAGTTTGTTATGAATCATGTTTTTATATGAATATGGCTTATTTACTATGGCTGCCATTTTCTGCATTAACTGTACTTTATTAAAATCATAGAGAAGAGTATGTTGTTGCTATTAACTTATGATACACCTGTGTTAATTGCTTATTAAGGATAATGATCACTTTTAAACAGTCTTTGTCAAACCTTTATTTTTCTTAAGTTTTATAAAGTACACAGATATATTTCTTTATTAATACCTGATACACATGTAATAATAATGATTATTAATTAATAAAATAAAACTGTAATAATTTCGAAAGAATTTTTGTACTATACATTGTCTTGACAACGATTTTCTTACTATCTCAGGGATGATAGATCAAGTGTAGAATATATATTGATACTTACATATTGTCTTTTGCGAACAATGTCAATCAAATTTATGTTTTTCACTTATTACTTTTCATTTTTATAAGCACTATTAACTTTGACATTATTATGTACCTTTAATAATGTATTTATAGCCCTTTACTCAATCCTCTGTCAAGGTCTGAGAATAGTCAACTGCTGTTTCTGATAGTATTTGTTTTATATTTTCCCATATTATCTTAGATGTTAACATAGTGTTTTTTTATCTCAATTTTTATTACCATGGATTTCCAGATTTAATACTGTAGACATTTACATTTATAATTGTTGAGACTTATCAAATTATATTAATGTCTTATTGCAGTGTAGATAATGTATTTTTGAAAGCAGTTGTCAGTCATTGAAGCTTTATATGCATTGTTTGTGAATTTTCCATACATATCCTAATTCCTTTATACATGTGATGTCATTTTGAACATGCTAGTGCAATAAATAACTTAAAAATTTATTAAATTCTTAAGTTCTTTTTCATTGCGTTCATTAAAGCTTTATTTACTGATGTTTATTTATTCCATATAAAATAAGGGATACATGTAAAATGTTAAGTATATCCCAAGGAGAATAGTTAGAGCTGTCTAAAATGTTATAAGTTGCATAATAAAGAAGAGTGAGAGCTGATATAACCACCTATGTCAAATTTTGGTTCAGTTTTTGCATGCAAGTTGGTATCTCCAAAACTACTGAGGGGAATGCGTTGAAACTTCACACACTTATTTGAGAGCATAATAGAAGGTCACTATCCTTAGCCATACATTACCCAGGCTCTTGACCGAGAATAGTCTAGCGCGCTGTCCTACTAACAGCTCTTGTAGTTTCTTTATTATAGGTTGATACCCTTGGATTATCTGATACGCTCTGTGGATATACCTGTTGTCATGCTTACCATGAACAACAGGCGATACAAAGGCTGACATAAATACAATTTAATATTATAATAACCAAGAATGTTTCCCTAGAGAAATGTTATCCTTACCTTAGCATTTCTATATATTTAATCAAGAAATTTCAGTGGAACAACACTTCCAAATGATACTTTTTTATCTTACTCAAAGAAGGATATAGAGAAGTAAATGCTTTTCTTTGCTATTAAGTTGATACACTTCTTTGCGAATACGTCAAATGTGGACCAGAAAATCAAATTTACCCCTGTTATTACAAGAGATAGTCCAAACCATTGATTACAGAACATGTAATAAGATAGATGGCGCAACAATGTCTTAGTACAAACTTAGTCAAACCAAGTCTGCAAGTTTATTTTGATTAATGCATAAATGGGATCACCCTTTCTTCTGATCGTTAGTTGGTAAGTTTCCAGTTTAGCTTTTGAAGTTTGTTTGTCGTAGCTCTTTTAAAGAAATTTAAAATAGTGTACATCCTCTTGCATATTTAAACTATTAATGTCACATTTAGAACAATACAACTTCTTACAGGTCTTTCATCTAAAATGTTTATCAATAAATGTCAAACCGTCATTTATTTGAGACTTAAAAGAAAAAAAGATATTCAAAGAGATGTTCCGCTTAAAAGTCGACTCAAATTTAATTTGATAAAGTATGTTTATCAGGAAAGCAAATTGTTGTTAACAGAGCCTATAGCACTGGTATTCAATCAATAGTCAGTTACTCTAGAGCCTGGTTGACATTTTGCCGTCTAAGTCGTTTGAATTTTTATCCGTTTCATTTTGTTCGTCAACACATTCTTCAACTTCTGTTGCAAACCGGTTTCCATGTCTCGCCCCAATAGCGTTCAAAGCTATTGCTAAAATCAATCCAAAGGCCGCACTCCCAGCAGCATGATATAAGTATGTCTTTGGACCGATATTGTCGTAAAGATAGCCAATTAAACGCATATGAAACATTCCCCCTAAAGCTGCTCCAAGCATCTGAGAAGTCATCCCCATACCAGTTAGCACCATATGATAGTCTGTCCAAGCAACACCTGTTGGCCACACTGGACCCCAAAAGAATGCAATTGGTTGGATAAGTACCCATAGTGCAATTGAACTTTCATCTGCAAATATAGCCATCAGTACAGCGGATAAAGTAGCACCAAATGCTTCAACAAAAATAAGAATCTTTACAGACATCCATTTTGCAAAGATAAAGAATAAGAAGCGGCCTATGGAAAAGCTTATCCAGTAGCTTGTATTTATCAAAGTTCCATTCTCCGAAGAAAATTGAAGCTGATCAATAGAGTAGCTTCTAACAAAGTTAGAGACAATAAATTGTCCACCACCGGCATTTCCAAAATAAAAAAACATCAGAAAGATTATACTGAATCCATACCAAAATCTTCCATTCGCGCAAGATGCCGGGTTTATCAATTGAATTAGTTGTTTTATTTTTTCCCATTTTGATCTTTTCATTTCGCTATTGATCTCTGAATTTACTTTCTTTGACTTGGAACCATTATCATTATCTGTACTTGGCAATTCACTATTTGGAATTGCCATTTCCCCTTTTGCTGCATGATTGTCCATTCCATGTTTGGTATATTTATTTTCAATTATTTGAAATGCGAAGAATATTATCGACAGGCTTGCTGTTGCAATACCAGACATGGCAAATGGATATTCAATTCTTGAATTTTCAATGTAATATTTGTCCGTAGAATCTGATGATGGTTCAATGACAGAAACATTGAGGTTTCTAAGTTTACCGGTGCCATTGGATGGAATAGTGTTATTTGAGGAGAATGGGATCATCGTTCCAAGAAAAGGATCAGACAATAATGGCATAAAGAAAGACCCTATTCCGTAGCCAAGATGTATCAGTATCAATGGCGATGCCGATTTGTCCTTCCAAATGTTTAAAGCTATAAGTGTTCCCGCTGAAATATGTGGAAAAAAATGACATGTTGTGAGTATGCACTATACTGAAATGTGACCTTTGCTTATTACTTTTACGAAACATCCTCGGTCACATATGTCTATTTATTCTATTTGTTCAAAGTTTATTAATAAATTGAACATGTTTAAAGGCAAATTATGCTTCAAAAACAAATAAATGTTTACTTCTTTAGAAAGGGTAAACATGAATTTTATAATGTTTAAATAACGGTTTTAGAGAATGTTTGACGCTTGTTACCTAAAACAATGAAGTGATAAATGTGAAATAATGTGTAGTAAAAGTAGCAAAATGAAAGAAGTATTTTGACTTCCATGAAAATACTTATTCACTATAACTGTATAATAATATATCAAAATTAAAAAATATTTTGAGATATAAAGATATAAGCATTTTCTGGCCATAATGAGCCTTTTGTTAAATTACAAAAAAGGTTTCCCTGCCCTATTTAGAAATATATATTCATTTAACATTTTTATATAAAATGACCTATTGTATAAATATGTACCGTTCCCTCGTTAAAATAGTTGTGGTAGATTGTTCTGTTAACAAATTTATTGAATGCATTTAAGTCTTAGTATGGCTTCACATGGACCTTTATCTTTCATGAAATAATTCAACAAACGTACTTTACCTGAATTATGAATGGACTGCACGAAACCACTAATAAAACAAAGAATCCAAATATAGTCTACAGTTGGAACCCATGGTATTAGAATCACAGCAACAGCAGCAACATCAAGAGTGACTGCGACCGTTAAATGACTCCATCCTCCCAATTTATCAACCAATAAACCTCCAACAATGCAGCCAGGAAATGAGCCTGCCCCTCTTGCTGATAATGCAGACGCTAATTCCTCATACCCCGTGTTAAATCTATACTTTAAATCAATTAAATTTGGTCCAGAAACTTCAGCGTACATCCCCTGTGATTAAATACATGATTAAAAGTTCTAAATGTAAAAATATAAGAAAAATAGATAGAAATAGCAGAATAAATAATTATATTGTATTAATTGTAATTTCTATTTACCAACCTAACATTATATATTGCATACATTTGCGAAAATGTTACATAAAATAATGATGATAATACTTGTTAAACATATACTTTGCTCATCTTTGAGTAAAATAATTTTATCTCAGAAATTTATTGAAATCTATGGATGTCTAATTGAATATGGATTTGAATTAAACAATTTAAAACTATGTATGAGAAGCTGCATGAACTATCACAGGTCAAGTAGGTCCTTTCTTTAAAAAAAACTTGCCAGATTTTTTTAATGACACTATAATTCATATTGAGATTAAAACATAGCATAGCTACTTTTGTGAATTTATAACATGTTAATTTTATATTTACAAAGAGACAGTGTAGCAATTTTCAATATTTTCAAATATAAAATTTGAGCATGATGTATCTTTAAAAATGACAAAGCACATATAATGTACATGTATATCAATATGATTATAAATGCTGAACATTTACTTACTATATCAATCATTTCTATTTAGTCAGAAAACGTTTACATTACATGTGCATTTGAAAATTATAAAAGTAGTACCGTATGAGAATTGCATACGAAAATAAAATCATGAAAAAGTAAACTAATTGATAAATGATATTTCAAGCTAAATCAAAAAGACCATGAAAAAAGGAAACTAATAAATTAATGATATTTCAAGCTAAATCAAAAATATCATGAAAAAAGTAAACAAATTAATAGACAATAATTGTTTTATTATATGAATAGGCCTCAGAATTAAAAAAAAAAAATCACGAAAAAGTACAACCTTATATACATGTACAAATTTTGCCTCGTTGAAGCGCGGGAAAAAAGACGCACGTGTTAGGCGTGCAACGACTACGCGAACGCTGCGCATACGAAAGTAATTCAAGTTTATACTCATCGATGCGGTTTAGCCTTTAATTATAACAGTAAAGTAATGATATTTCAATCGAGAAATATGCCATAAAGAACAAAACGCAACAATTATTTTTTAATTAGCAGTCTACGGTGAATGGTCATTGAATATGAGTCTCAATCTATTTTTAGACTTGGAAAATCCAATTTAGCCAGTTCATATGATACTACCCCCAGTGAATATGATTTTATAAAAAGTTCTGTTGACTTCAGTTTGGACCAATGAGATTGAAGCTATTTTTAGATCATGTAATAATAAATGATATTTCAAGCTAAAAAAAGATCATGAAAAAGTAAATTGATTAATAAATGATAATTCAAGCTAAATCAAAAAGATCATGAAAAGGTAAACTAATTAATAAATGATATTTCAAGCTAAATCAAAAAGATCATGAAAAAGTAAACTAATAAATAAATGATATTTCAAGCTAAATCAAAAAGATCATGAAAAAAAGTAAACCAGTTAATAAATGAATTATCAAACTAAATAAAAAAGATCATGAAAAAAGTAAACTAATTAATAAATGATATTTCAAGCTAAATCAAAAAGATCATGAAAAAGTAAACTACAGTAGAATCCCTACTAAAGACCACCTCGGAATTAAGACCACCCCGCTTTTAAGACCAGTTTTTAAAAGAACGGAATTTTCTGTTCTTTATGTCAATGGTTACATGATCCAGAATTAAGACCACCTCACTTATCCACTTTTAAGACCACCAAATTCAGTCCCAATTCATTATTTTGTTCTTTATTTGACCTCACTATTGAGACCACTGATATTAAAATAAACACCTTCCTAGATCTTAGATGTGTTGTTATGTTATTATTATCTGCTTGATTGCTCTTAGGCATGACCCTTGATTACACAAGGTGTCAAAAACTGTTATTTATGGGATATTTCATGAAAAAGGTGAGAAAGTTAATTTCAGAGTGGTTTAATGTTGCTTAATGCACATTTATTTTGTGAAGAAATAATGTCTCACATGATATATGAATTATGTATCATACATAATTAATATTGAAATCAGAGCAAAGAAAATTTGATATTAAAAAATTTCTTCAGAAATATGTTTTCTTCTCATCAGATGTAACATTATAACATACTTTCATATTGTATTTGCAGGTTAAGATACATATTGTTTGTTCATACAAAATGACTAAAATAGGCCCTAGTCATAACGTGTGTAAGCAATGATAACAATATCCACAATTAAGACCACCCCGTAATTATGACCACTTTGGTCCAGTCCCGATGGTGGTCTTAATTGAGGGTTTTTACTGTAATTAATAAATGATATTTCAAGCTAAATAAAAAAGATCATGAAAAAAGTAAACTAATTAATAAATGATATTTCAAGCTAAATCAAAAAGATCATGAAAAAGTAAACTAATTAATAAATGATATTTCAAGCTAAATAAAAAAGATCACGAAAAAAGTAAACTAATTAATAAATGATATTTCAAGCTAAATCAAAAAGATCATGAAAAAAGTAAACTAATTAATAAATGATATTTCAAGCTAAATAAAAAAGATCACGAAAAAAGTAAACTAATTAATAAATGATATTTCAAGCTAAATCAAAATGATATAAATGCATACCATAACTATCCATGAAACAACAAGCGCGCCCGTTTCTATAACTTTTCGCAATTTGCCATCACGGTATGTTTGTCCAATATCTTTATCATCAGTTAATTCTGCAACTTTCATTTTTTCGTGTGTATGGCAAACAAAATATTAACACACGAACATTTAATGCAGCTCAGGTTTATTGTATTCTTAATCCATTCATTTAGTGTATCACACTAAAAACAAAGTAATTATCTATATTGTAATCTGCATGAAATTAGCATATTTTATGTATGACATATTTAATTAAAGGAACTCCACTGAGGTCAAAAAAAACTCCAAAAAATGAAATTTAAATTTCTTTCATAGATCAGTAGGGATTCTTAAAATAGAAAGATATTCAAAAGATTAGTAAAAATATTCTCAGAAATCAATTGAAAATAGTATTTTGTGCTGTTCTATTTTTGTGCAGTTCCTAGCCAGATTTGAGTGAAAAGCGTTGCAACGCATTCAATTTTGGCTCACTTTTCATAATTACAATAATTATTCTGGAAAAAACGAAGTGAGCAAAAGATCTGAAATTTTGCACACCATGGCCAGTTACTGGTTTAGATCTTCATCAACATTAAATTTCGAAAGCCCTGTCATGTCAAAAATCGTCAGTGGAGTCCTTTTAAAGCATCCGATCTCAGCAGTAATTAAGACAATTATAAAACGTCAAATTTATTCAATTGTTTAGACTTGGCTCTGCCATGCATCATAATTATACCAGATATAAGTGGTTACAATCAAATAGGTTTTGAAAGTAAAATTATTTCGTAAAAATACACGGGTATTTCAAGACTTTAATTTACCCAGATAGCCTTTATCGCAGGGATATCAGAAAGGTCAACTCGTCGGTTTCTAAGGAATCTTTTAAAAATAAGGCGAATAACTGCCAGATGGATACCTCATTTACTTACATCTGACCAGAAGAAGGAGCGCTCGAATATCACTATATATATTTCCTTAATATGACAATGGCCGTTGGCCGTTTTTCAAATATTGTGCCTAGTGATGGAAGCTGGTTTCACTAATTTACACCAGATCTCAAGTGTAACAATATGATTTGATTGACCAAAAATGTTCGTCGATTATGCGTTGCCAAGCGATTGACAAGTGATAGAAAGGTTATGCACGTTTTTTTTCTCAATACCCGCGGAACTGTTGTCTATATAATTAAAATTCAATACAGTTCATCCTTAGACCGGTAGAAAAAGGTCTGTATTGTCTGCATCTCAACGCACTTGCACATAAAGGAGATACAGTACCTGATTTTTATTTTCGAGAACAACGAGAGACTGAGGATTTTAACTGATGGGACTGGAATTATTTTTTGTAAAAGATTAATGTTCCATTTGATATACTTAGGTGTATACAAATAACTTGAGTGCAACATTTTAGATCATTGGCTCCCGTTTTTTCTCCAGAATAATTATTCTGTTAGTAACAAACGACCTTAAAAATTAAACGTCTAAAACTTTGTATTTCTGTAGCAGGAGGTTATTCCGAAGGGTTGAAATAGAAAACTTTATTCTATTGTTTAATATATTGGCCATATTGCATTTCATATTATCCATCCTCGTAAAAATCGTCAAAAAGTAAAAATCATGTGACGCTTTTGAGACACTGGCGATAATTTATTTTCCTTGTACTGTACGACATGATCCTCTTATAGTTTGTCGGTTTTAATTAAATGTATAATACATGGTTTGCTTATTTACATATAAAGTAGACTTAAATACATTAACAAACTCTAGGTCAAAAAAACAAACAAAATTAAGTAATGCATGACAGTCGTATATGGAAGATTTAAATACTGACATTCTAATGCTTGTCATGTGTAGATATGTAAATAACGTTATGATATGATATAAATGAATCTACTTTTGTCGAATTATTTAACTGTACACAATTTGTCCGGAAAGGTCATTATTTGTTGGATATATTTCGAACTTGTCATTGTGGGATCTATAGTTATTGTACATGTACATTATTACTACTATTATCGTTTGCTTTCGATGAATCCCCCTTTTTCTGAAATTTTACACACAAAATTATAATAAACTAATAAAAATAATGATATATCGTTAACAAATATTTTTGATTTGAGAAACATATATCAAAATAAAATTGATTACCCTCAACTTAGTCAAGTTCTGTTACAGTACACAAATTATTAATAAGTGCGGATTAAGAAAGAAGACATTCTTTGCCAAATGCCCCAAACAAATCCAACAGGCAAATATGGCAGAATGTTTAAGTTTTATAAGGTCGCAATGAAATCTGCCCAGACCTATTTTGAAAACCATATGAAAACATGTAAACTTGCTGACGTTAGCGAAAACATCAAACAATTCAGGAAAGAATCAACAACCTTGGACAATAACTCAAATGCAGAAGTTGTTATTGTGTTAGATGCCAGAAAAGTAAACTACATGTTTTCCGAACTAAATTTCCGTTTTTGAAAACAAAATCCCGTTAGATTTCGCTAAAAGCAATATGTTTAAGTATCTTATAATATCGTTTAATTGAAATTGAGAGCGAAATATCCATTACACTTGAAATGTATTAATTATGCACCATAAAAGCTGTATTTGTTAAAATATACCGATGTAGTGACTCTAGTTATAAAGTATGTTACTTTTTTAACACATAGAAAAAGTCTAAATTGTTCAATGTGCGTTACTCTTTAAATATATCATAGACAAGTTGAATCCTGATTTGTACATAACTAGAAAACCGCTGTTTGCTATTGTTTAACATTTTAAATATCAATTTTAAATGTGACACTTAAGTAACTGTTTTATGAAATTTTCGTTACAATTATGAAGTTTAATTGTTACTGTTCATGTTTGAAAACAAGTTCATTAAAAATCCTTTAAACATGTGTGCTTGTTTATTATTTGACAAAAAAAGTCTAAACCAAAAACATATTTCGTCGTAGCTATTCCTATGTAGTAATAATCAAATGTATTAAAATGATTCTTAAACAAAAGAAAAAGAAAAAAAAAACATTGTTATTTAATTATTTTATTTAGACAATGCCTTCGTCAAAACAACATAACATGATGAAGTTGTTTTCTGTTCACAACTATACACTTCATAAAAAACATAGTAAAAGAATGTGAATGTGCAACATTTGTTCATAAAAAATGTGTCATATTATTGTCACGGACATTTATTTCATTTATTGCAAATTAACATAACATAACATAACATATTCTTTATTTGGCATAAAACGACAATATACATTTATAGCCAATACAGTAAACAATCATGTAATGTAAGAACATGATATACAATATAAATACCATAATGTTTTACAGAGAAAGTTCTTGTTGCTACAAAATTTGAATAAATTTAAGTTCCTGTTATCTTACAATAGAAGAACATCATTGATAATATAAAGACCTTGACAAAGTTGAAATGTTGTATTTGGTGCTACAAAACTTGAATAAATTTAAGATGCTAACTGTTGTCATTTCTTTCTTATAATGGAAAATACAAAAATTTGACAAGATACTAACTGTTGTCAGTTTTTTTTAAGATGAAAAATACAAAAAAAAATTGACAACTGAATAAATTTAACCTACTAATTGTTGTCAACTCTTTCTTTAAATGAGAAATACGAAAAATTTGACAAGTAAAGTAATAACTGTTGTCCTTTTTTCATGTGAAAAATACAAAAAAATATATATGACAAAGACAAAAATATACTAAATGTTGTCAGTTCTTTCTTTAAATGAAAAATACAAAAATTTTGACAGGTTATTCAACATTTGGTATTTGTTGTAGACATTAGTTTTTTCAAAATTTATGAATTGATGGCCAACGACAATAGTATGGTTTCAAATATTTGCGACGTAAACTATAGTATTTGGGGCAAACTAGCAAAAAATGGAATTCATTTTCTATCACGTTTAAATTGCAATTCGTACATAGTCTGTTTTCTCGCGCTACGTTTTCGTATCGACCCGTTTCTATTGCTAGGTTATGGGATGACAATCTAAATTTTGTAAGTGATATTCGAAATTTGTTTATGTTAACTTTATTAAGATAGTCTTTCAGTTTCGAGTGAGCGTTTATAGATGCTGTATGACGATAGTCTACTAGAATTTCTTATATTACTATACCATCTTGCTTGTAAATGTCCAATATTCTATTTTAACTTGTTGAAAATTTATTGTTATATGTTCTTTGATTAATCCATATGTTCGACATTCCTATATCATTTAAAATCTGTTTAATTTGGCATGCCAGTTGTTACCACCATAAGAAAGACCGTTTTCTGCATCAAATTTTAAAGACATTATACATACGTTTAAGCAGACAGTCATTTTGTAAACTAATTAATTTTGTCCAATATTTTAACATTATAAATTACGATGTATTCGCATTGGATGTCTACCGGTTTCGCCATAAAGACCATCCAAGTTTGTTGCTTTCTTAACACATAAGATTTTTCTGAGGAATTTACAATGGATCATTTCTATAGATATCCATAAACTTCAGCACCATATTTTAAAACTGAACCTACCATACTATCAAAAAGTTGAAATTTGTCTCCAATAGATAATTCTAATTTATTGATGACTGTAAATAAATTATGCAATGGAAACGAAGCATGTTTAGCTAATTGCTCCAATGACCATTTTTAAAAAAATTAATCCCAAGATATTTAAAAAAAAATTACGTTTTCCAGAACTATGTCATTATATACGAAATTGTAACTTGTATGTCTGCCTTTTTCAAAAATCATAATTTTTGTTTTATTAGTATTAACTTTAAGTCCCCAAGTTTGACAATATACTTGTAAATCATTTAGCATAGATTGGAGTGACATAGACGTATGTGCAAATAAAACGGCGTCATCCGCGAATTAGGTAGTGTTGCTTAGCGTGCTATATTTAGAGAACATTAAAGATATACATGAATGATTTTGCATGCTTGTATCCTAGGATGTCACAAGTGATTAATGGTAATTTTGTTCGATGATATTTTCCTCACTCTATGAGGCATGTTAGTGAGAAACCGTGTGTCATTTTTTCAAAAAGAAATTTGATATGGCTAGTTTTAACTTTGAAGAATCAGAAGAAATCGGTATGTTCAAATATTTGTGGTGTTACAAATCTTTCAAATAAAACACCGAAGTAAGTTCAAAGTATTTAATGATCAGAATGTTCAATTAAAGGA